GGTATGTTAGCACTGCTCGCTGCTTGCCACTTGCAGCATTTCAAAAATAAATACTTTGGAGCTGCAGAAACAAATGCTGCAGAAGAGAAGAGGACTCTCGGCATGACTGTCACTTGATTACCAAACTTAACCTTGTTTTCTTTCCCCTGCCAAAGACGGGCATTAAACTGTGCAGGCATTCACGGCGTTTCGTATTTGTGCCCCAATCCCTCTCCCTTCCCCTCCCCGGGTTTTCTCGCCCTGAACCCTGACGCAGGCAGAGGGGAGGCTCATCTTTGGGGTGGGGGGTGCAAAGACTTTTCTTTTTTGCTTCTCAGTTCCCCGACACAGCGACCTGCAGTGCGTGGGGGATAGGCACAGCGTAGACCTGAACTGCATTTTGTTTGACTTTATTTAACTATTTATTTTATTTAAGGTGTTACAGCAGCTCCGTGCTCGGGGAATGGTACTTCGCCACCAAGTTTTGCAGTTAGCTGTTGCATATTTTCCTCTGGGCTTATGTAAAAAGTGCATTTCCTTTTCATTAAAGGGGGGGGGGGGGAACCCCAAAACCCTGTAGCAAGAGCTGGGCGGGTGGCACCCCTGTGCCACCTGGGGACACGACTGGGGACAGCCCGGGGGTGGCAAGTGGCTTTGGGGAGCCCCTGCCCAGCTGGGTGACGTCCCCCTGCCAGCCTCAAATCCAAGGGTGGGATTTTCCCCCTCTCTCCTCATTTACAGAAGAAAGGGAGCTTTCCTTTGACCCTTTGGGGCCTTCAAGGGCAGGACTTTTCAGCTCTTTTCTTTTGAGGGGCTTTGGCTGGGTGGGGGTGAAAGCCCTCGGCCGCTTTGTCTCCCACCCCCGGAGGGTCCTGCTGGCTTTGTCCCTGCCTCAGCTGCTGCCCAGCGCACCTTCCTGCGGGAAGCTTAGGACTTTGGGGATTTGGGGGGGCTTTTTTGGGGGGGATTGAAGTCTCCAAGTCTCTTTGTATATTGGCTAAGGAAAAGACAATCCAAATACATTATCTAATTATTTTGGATTACTCCCGGCAGAGCTCTGATGCCAGCATCTTATTCTAGGTCGATGCTTTTTTCCTTTGTTGTTGTCACCTCGCCCCGACCTTTCAGGCCTCAGAGCAGGAAAATAGTTTAGAAAAGAGCAAACCTGCTTTTTTTTCCCCAAAGCACGCGAGCGCAGGAACTGAGAATTCTCAAACTCTCATGGAAGTTGTATCAAATAACAGCTGCATTTTTTATGAACATCTTGTGACAAAGGCTATGACTTTACAAAAATCATGCAGACATGTACAAATTGTCCTGCTATATCCAAGAGCTGGGAAAAGAGGCTGCCATTAGAAAAGAAAATGATGTTTTGCTTGAACAGTCACATATTTTAAATGATGGGGCGGGGGGTTGGCTGCTTTTAATCCAGTTCTGTCCAAGTTTTCCCGTCGGGTAGGAGGTGTCCATCTCATCATCTGTCACCTGTAGGACCTGGCAGCCCAAAGGGAACTGGATTTTTTTGGGTGGCGATGGTGCTGGGGGCTCCTCCTGCACCCTGGGGCACAGCTCAGCTTGGGAGACGAGGTCGCAAAATACAGTTTGCATCTGTAATTGCTAAGGTCATTTTTCCTGCAGCACAGTTCTTCCTGTGTCAAATGGACTGAAGCCATTTCAAACCATTCAAAAGTAGCTTGCTGCTCTATTTAAAAACAAAACAAAAGCATATTTAGTAGAGGAGATTTTTAAGTTAGACGTTATCAAGTGTTATTGCATTCACTATCCAGTCACAGTAATATTTTGTTGCTGTTGTTTTCAGGGGATGCGAGGTCTCGTGGTCGGCAGGTTCTCCTTGGCTTTCAAGACTGCCTTCTTTTATTTCTTGGATTTCGGGGGGGGTTGGGGTTGTTGGTGGTTTTGGGCTGTTTTTTCTTTCTATATTCTGGTCATAAAAAGGCAGGGGCAGAGGGGGGAGGAAGAAACAAAAGTCCAGCAGTCCTGGCCTACAGTTTATTGAAGTGGTTTGGACTTTTGCAGCTCACTGGTACGGCTTTGCTCGCGTTCCTCGGTGCTGTTTCTAGACCAAACACAGTTACTTTTTCCACCATTTCCCTGTGAGCACGTTTCAGGGCCTTTTTTCTCCAGGAAGACTGGAGGTTTAGACCGTCACTGAGTGCTACCGGCAAAGCTTGCCCGCTCGCTCGGCTGCTTTGTGACCAGCAGCTACAAAATCTGCTGGAATCAGAGAGAAGGCCACCGGCAGCTGGAGTGATGCGGGTTTGGGGGGGGGATCCCTTTCGGGGTGGCCAGGCCAGGCTGCAGCCCTGTGGAAAGCTTACCCTGGGAGGGATCAGTTGTGTGGAGCATCTTGGTTCAAACTCTGATGTCTCATGGGAGGTTTTACATGAAATCTGCCAATAATTTGCTAGGCTGGGGCACTCTGGTGCTTCTCACCAGCTTAAATGTATCCTGAACTGGCACAATTTTGGTGTTTTTAGAGAGAGACATGGGTTCCTCCTGGCATGCGTGGCTTGTTTATAGAGGAGATTCTAAGCAATATTAATAATTGATATCTACTTTAAGTTGGTTTGTTCTGTGCTACCAAGCTGTCCTTGGCTGGTCCCACTCATCCTGCCCTGTTGGGTTTCTCCGAGGCAGGGGGTTGTGAGCGGGTCCAAGGAGGTCCCACCGGGTGCCTGCCCGGTCCCCTCAGCTCTAAGGGAGCTCTTGCTGGAAGAAAAGAGGAGGATATCTTTCTCCACCCATGGTCTGCCATCACCATGGACGAGGCTTCCTTCAGGTGCCTGAGTGGCGAAGTTTTGTGTCTGTAAAGCACTTTATTTTTCAGTAATTCTCACAGATCCAGAGTGGATCTGCTTTTGCCAGAGCAGATGCCTTTCCTTCTCCAACAGAGGTTGGTGGTGTTGTGGTTGGAAGAGGTCTTGGGCTCTTGGGCTTGGCTGTCGTGGTGTCTTCTCGGACCTCCTCGCAGGATGTCACCTTGGTCCCCTCTCGGTGCCTTAGCCTTCTGATCAACACCAGGCAGAGATCTCACTGACCTGACACCGGGTTTGGATGAACCCGTTGAGTGCTCCTGACACATGGAGGTCCTGGAGGTCCTCGGCTGGGAGCGTCATGGCTCTGCCGAGCACTGGGAGGCTGCAGGTCCTGGGGGATGCGGAGCAGATGTGTTAGTGCCGTTTGCTGGAAGAGCAGGGGAAGGCAGCCAGCCCCTGGGCACTTGGGAGTGGCAGCAGTTTGCTGCTGTGGAGTTGAACTTAATGCACCAAACATCTATTTGGACGGTGGAAGTGGAGGTAGCGTGCGATCGGCGGGGAGGGGTTGCGCCGGAGCATCACCGGCCCTGTCTGCACTCCCTACAGTTATCCTCCTCTAAGGATGGCTTCACCTCTAATCTCTTAAATTTTAACTGTGTGTGACCATCCGAGCAGAGCCATCGCAACAAATCCGAGAGCAATAGCAGAAATAAAAAAGCTCTGGGCAAGAGAGAAGTAAGCAAAGTGAGGCCCCACCCTCTTTCCCAGAAAAAAGCACCAAACATGCTCAATAAATGCGAAGGTAATTTAAAATCTGAATCCAGGAGACAATGTGACTAGGATTTCATTACTTAAGCAAATGGATTTGCTTTTAGTGGATTCAGCCACAGACTGAAAGAAGCTTTCCCCAAGGGGTAAACATTTTTCCTGCGTTTGAAAGGCTTTCTTG